TTAAAGGTCAGGTTGGTGTTGACCTGCCAGGCTCAGCTGCTCCTCCTGCTTTTACGCGCCGAGGTTTGAAGAGCTCGAGCTTCATGATGTTTTTGTTTTTCAGCCACTGTGGACGTGAAGAGGAACATCTTCGACCTGTGTACAGACACCAAGGACTGCTACCTGGCTGTCATCGAGGTACTTCAGCATCCGCGCTATCAGAGGGTTTATTGTTGCAGACATGCTAACGTGATGCGTTTACTCTGCAGAACCAGGACGCAGTGGGCTTGGACACAGTGTGTCGTCTGTACGAGGTGGGACGCCAGAAACTCGCCGAGGAGGGAGACGACGACGATCAGGTGAGCGTTTGTTTTCTTTTGTCTGCGACGACCCGACCTTCACGTGGAGGCTCATCTCTGACAGCTGGGTCTCTAGAACAGCTGCTTTCAGGGAAAGAGTCCACGGTGTCCCCGTCACTGTGACCACAGCTTTTTATTTTTAATTGAAGTCTTGTGCGACTGCTCAGGGAGCCGACCTGAAGTGGAGATGAGCAGTTTTATCCAAAAGCTTCTTCTTCTCTTACTTTTGATGCTTCTTTGTCTGCCGGTTCTCGTTCTTCTGCTTTTTCTGCTCTTTGATTTAATTATTATTATCTGTGAAACTTGTTTCACTGAGAAACTTCCTCTCTTGCTGTTTCTGCCACGTAAGGTCGTCGTGATCGAGTTCATTTTTTAAAATTTATTCTGTACTCTTCCAGGATGACGAAGATCAGGACGATGACGATTCTTCTGACTCCGATGACGACGATGATGACGACGACGACGACGACTTGGACACAGACCCGCTCATAGAGGAGCTGGCCAATAACAACGAGGCAGAGAACGAGGAACAAGCCGACTCGCCCAGAGACGAAGAGGTACCCGACCCCCTAAATCCATCGACCAATCAGCTTCTTTTATTTTTCACTTTTCTGTGAAAGAATTGATGAAGACAACACTTTGATAGTTTACTGAATATATAAATGTCTTGTTTTGTTTAACTTTATTTTCTTATAGTAAATATGATTTATAGAAGAACTTGTTGTTCATATTAGTAAAATTTACTTTGTTTATGGATCATTTGTTCTGAGCTCACTCAGCGTTGTCGTCGTGACGACTAATATCTAAAATAAAAGC